AAATCAATGCGTAGAAACCTCCCAATGATGCTAGTGATATAGTGATGTGGAACATTATTATTGTCGATCCGTAGTCTTTAATAGCCTTTTTCAATTGTTCTTTCTTAGTAAGTTTTTGACAGCTTTCGTGACTTTTGGTACAATATGTTCGATTTTGCAGATCTATTAGAATGAAAATAGAGTCAAAAGTAACTAATAACAAGTAAAAAGCAGTAAGTTCGGTCGGGCCGAACTTTGAATACCCTCCACCATTTAGAACGAATTTAGAAATTTTCGAAAAAAGATAACATTTGCTAAAAATTCTGCTAACATCTTAATAATACCGAATATAGCAGTTATATTAGGGTCTGTACGACGTGCACCTACATAGGCATTGTTTGTCACAAGCCATTACCATACTTAATTAAATTCGAAACATGAAATAAACGGTGAATAATGTAGCTAAAATCATCAAACAAATACAACATCTCAAACAATTTAGGTGAGTATTGTACCTAAAATCGTTAAAATACCGAATATAGGGAGATACTTATATATGGGGCCTATACGAAAACCTGGATCTGCTTTGACAATTTTTGTCACAGACTATAGTTTTCATTACGAACTCTAAATACGTAATTTGAAACTACTACGGCGAATAATAACGATAAAATCATCAAAATACTGAATATTGGGATGTACAGTTATATGGGGGCTATACGAAGACCTGCACGGCACATTTACGAACTTAACCTGCCTACTTAACAAAATAAATACGTTTGTAAAATTTTAGCCTTCTATCTCAATTCGCTCGAAAGATAGTGTGATTGCAACAGACGGACAGACAGACAGACGGATATGGCAAAATCGTCTTAGAAATTTACGCTGATCAAGAATATATTTACTTTGTTGGGTCTGACATGAGTATTTCGAGGAGTTACAAATGTAATGACAAAATTAACATACCCTCCATAGTATGGTGGAGGGTATATCATCAAAACACCGAATTTAACCAGATTTTTTAGCGGAATTGTCTGAAAATCCACACATGGATTCCTTGCGGGTACTTTATTGCTTGAAAAAGAATTATCTATATAGGTCCACGATATCGTATAGCCCCCATATAACGGTACCCCCCGATATTCGGTATTTTGATAATTTTAGCCACATTTTTCAACGGAATTGCCTGAAATTCTACACAAGGAGTTCTTTGTGAGCACTTTACACCATGACAGAGAATTCTTTTATAGGTTAACGATATCGTATTTTGATTATTTAAGCCGTATTTTCCAATGGTATTGTCTGAAATTCCACACAAAGAGTTCCTTGTGAGTACTTTATCCCCTGGAAGATAATTACCTATATAGGTCCACGATATGGTATAGCCTCAATCTAACGGTACCCCTCGATATTCGGTATTTTTATGATTTTAGTCACATTTGTTAATGGAATTGTCTGAAATTCCAGACAAGGAGTCCCTTCTGAGTACTTTACCTCCAGACAGAGATTTGTCTATATAGGTCCACAGTATCGTATATCCCCCATATATCGGCACCTTCCGATATGAGGTATTTTAAAGATTTTAACTGAATTTTTAATGGATTTTATTTATTTTTTTTTTTTTTTTTTGAAAATTTTCTAATTCGTTTCAAATGGTGGAGGGTATTCAAAGTTCGGCCCGGCCGAACTTACTGCTTTTGTACTTGGTTTTTTTAAAAACGGCAGTAATTGGATTAAGAACATATCCCAAATTTGCTCATATTCACTCGAAAGCGAAATTTGCTCTCGAGCAGGATTGCTCAAAGTTTTTAACGGAGTCTACTCTTCGCTCAAAATAGATCTAAGAGTGAAAATGAGTATAACCATAGACAAATGAAGATATAGACAACGAAAAGTTAGTTTTGCCTTTTCATCCAGGTGGCTCTCATCATGTTTTGCAAAGTCAACATGCTGATTTACGCGTTCAACCCACTCGACTTAAAATATATTTATCGTTTTTATACCCTCCACCATACTATGGATGGTATATTAACTTTGTCATTCCGTTTGTAACTCCTCGAAATGCTCTTGTCAGACCAAACAAAGTATATATATTCTTGATCAGCGTAATATTCTAAATCGATTTCGCGATGTCCGTCTGTCTGTCTGTCTGTTGTAATCACGCTATCTTTCGAACGAATTGAGATAGAGGGCTAAAATTTTACACACACATATATTTTGTTAACCCATTAACGCCGACGGGTGCGAAAACGCACCAAAAATAGAGATGTTTTTTAGCATGCATAGAAACGGTTTCATATTTGATATCGCTTTTCTGTTTCTTGGAATAGATAGTAGGTGGATGGGTCTGTTTATTTGACTTTGGCTGTTTTTTCATCAGACGTCACCTACATGACGCATATATATATATATATATATATATATATATATATATATATATATATATATATATATATATATATATATATATATATATATATATATATATATATTTAAAATCTCTTTTTTTTCTTTAGATATTTTTTAAGAGATCGTGACAGAGAGCAGACGGTGTGGCAGCTATTTTGATTGGCAGCGCTTCATAAAAATTAAAATTTGGTGCACAATAAATATGAAATTGTATGAAGATATATGTGGAATCTATATTCAAATCTGATCCGATCTCGATTAAATTTGCCAGAAATTTTTTTTGAAATATATATATTTTCAAAAAAAAAAAAATTAAAAATACCGAATATCGGAATGTGCCGATATATGGGGCGATATACGATATTGTGTACCTATAAAGACAATTCTCTTACAGATAGACAGACGGACGGACATCGTTAATTCGACTTAGAATTTTGTGCTAGTTATGAATATATATACTTTATGGGGTCTTCAACGAATATTTAGGGATGTTACAAACGAAATGACAAAGTTAATATACCCTCCTTTCCAAGGTGGAGGGTATGATAACGTGCAACCTTTGGGACATGTATTGCTTCACTATTTTTTAATATTATCATCTAATTTTTGAATAATTTTATTAAAATTTCAACTTAATTCATGCATTTTCCTTTACAATGCTATTAATTTATTAAAACATTTTCTAGTACTAAAATTGTACTCAGTAACGCCGAAGGGTGCGAAAACGCACCACCCCCTGCACAAGCAAGGGGTAGAGATAGGGGGCTGAATTTTTGTGCGCGGAATATGAGTGACATTATGGCATCCTCCACTAAGTTTCAACATTTTTCTCCCACAAATAAGGGAGTCGGCGTTAATGGGTTAAGTAGGCAGGTTATGTTCGTAAATGGGCCATGTAGGTCCACGTTTTCATATAGTCCCCATATAACTGTACCTCCCAATATTCGGTATTTTGATGACTTTAGCGACATTATTTACCGGAATTGTTTCAATTTTGGTATTTGAAGTTCGTAATGGATACTACGGCCTGTGACAGAAAATTGTCAATGCAGGTCCAGGTCTTCGTATAGCTCCGATATAACGGTACCTCCATATATACGATATTTTGATGAGTTTAGCTACATTATTCACCGATTATTTCAAGTTTCGATTTGAATATGGTAATGGCTCATGAAAACAATGCCTATGTAGGTCCACGTCTTGTAGACCCAAATATAATGGCTATATTCGGTATTTTTAAGATTTTAACAGAATTTTTAACAGATTTTAGTTTTTGAAAATTTCCAAATTCGTTCAACTTACGGCTTTTTAGCTTGTTCAAGGATTTCACTTGGTTATTCCGGAACCTTTTGTATGTCGTGGCGTACTTTTCACATTTCCTGTATTATTTAACAATATTCAACTGACACATATCCTACAGTTTTTGTTATTTTTAACATTTAAGAATTGAGTGACTTCAATATTCCCACTCAAACCCCTGAAACGATATAGACGACATCTGCTGATCAAATTTTTTCGAAGATAAACGGTGAGAGCATTTCGTTGTCTATTTCTTCATTTGTCTATGGTATAACATTTTTTTGTTTGGTGATTTGTGTGTGCAATAGCATACCGATTTTGATGTTGCTGTGAACTTTAAAAGGAGGGAGGCAGTGGGTTCAGTTTGATTGTGTACAAAATAAAAAAGCAGCAGCATGTATTGCAAGGGATAGGTGGTTGTTGTTTTTTGTGTGTTTTTCTAGAAGATTTCGAACCGAGTTGATGTTGCTGTGAACTTTAAAAGGAGAGAGGCAGTGGGTTCAGGTTGATTGTGTACAAAATAAAAAAAGCAGCATGCATTGCAAGGGACAGGTGGTTGTTGTTTTTTGTGTGTTTTTCTAGAAGATATCGAACCGAGTTGTCATAACTTGTTAGGATGGCGTTTGCACAGTACGTGTGCACCAGTGACCGGCTTGAGGTGGATATTTTGTGACTTGCGGTGGAACAAATCTAGTTTAGTAAAAACTCTTCGATTTTTTTTTTTCCAGAGGTAGGTATTTTTACCCTGATTCCGGGAAACTATTTTTTTCTTGAGAATCACACTTACTTCTTGCCTATCCCAAAAATTATCATAACAAAATATTGCCAAGAATACCAGCACATTTTCAATTAAGAATTCATCGAGTTCTTCAAGTTGAAGAAACATCCACGCAGTCACTTGTATGTGAGTTTGTTTCTATCTTGTTTAAAAATTCCACTGCGCTGCCTCCGCTGTTTTGTATTTATTATTGTTGAAGATTCAATTAGTTCATTGATTAAGTCTGTACCATGATGTTGTACCAATAGCTATAAGTTTTGCAGATTTCGTTTAATATATTGTGTGGCATCTTGTTTTTCAAATACATATTTTTATATCGTAATACAAATTTTTATATCATATTTGTTAATTGTTTTGTATCTTTGTATTTTTTTTCTCTGAAGATTATTGTCGAATACAGTCGAAATATCGTAAAATAAAAATCAAAATTATAAAAATAAAACACTGATGTTTTCAATTGGCCTTAAGCCAAAATAAAGTTATTAAGAATTATTATTATTATTTTGAATGTTGCTTCACAATTTGCATAAATTACCTTTATATTGAATGACAGCATGTTTATCGTACGTGGACCACCCCGAACGTGTATTTTGTCTCAGCGTTGTATGGTGAGAGTTCTGCAAATTGTGTGACATAAACTTGCATTGTTGCGCCAGTTGACCACGAGGCATGTTCAAATGTGAAACAGCATCTATACCACTGCAGGGTGTGGGGACATTACTTTGCATTGCCGAATTGAGATTGATTGTACCAAAACAATCGTACGATTGTGTGTGCAGATCATATAGTATTTTTTTACCAGACAACATCTGCGAGCTATTCAGACGAGATGAGGACGCTGCGGACTGTTTGTGAGCTAAAATGGCTGTAGCTGAAATGTCTCGGTTTCTTCGAGGGGAAAATCTGGTAGTTTCAGCAACATCTATATTGTTTGGCACAGGCAGTATCTCTGTAACAGCTTTGTTAAGACATCTAGTTGTAATGAAGAGGCGTTTGGCTGCAAAATACAAATAATACTTTATATGATGTCATGAGAGAATTAAAGGTGCCTAATTTCCCAAATCCGTACCAAATTATGTTCCCAAATCCGTACTTTTCTTATGTTTGGAACTGTTCTATCATTTTCAAATAATTTTAAAAGTAATTCTATTTTCTATGGTAGAATTAAGAAGGTAAAATCATGCAATCATTCGTTTACATTTTTTTAAATTATTTATTTGACAACATTTTATTGTCAAAATTCATATTCATAAATCCATTTTATTTTCACAAATCAGAGATGGGAACCCGTTTTCTAGGCAGTGAAATTTGACTAATTAAATTACAGAAAATTCGGAGATGGAAATGCTTATTTGAAATGATTTATGATATGTTCTCATTGCAATTTCAATCATTTTGTTCGCTCTCAGAATTAGGTACACGCATTAACCCGTTCGTACGGCATAGTAACATCATTTCTTTTTTCAATTTTTTTTGTTTGTTGACTTTTGTAAGAATTTGTACGAAAGTACATGAAATAAGCATTAATAATAAAAAAAAGAAATTATTTTTTTCCTCCAAAGATGTTTTGAATTTTTTGTACAAATATTGACATTTTATATGTATTTTTGTATTTTTCTGTTTTTAAATTCAGTTGGTCACTTGTCAAAAAAAATTTTGTCGATACAAACAATTTGAAAATATTTCCTCTTTTGTTTCCAGTTTTCTGTCGAAATTCCAATTCGTGGACAAAAAGCGTACCTCGGATGAGGGAGGAAACAAAATTTACTTTCGTTTGAATGCACATACGACATTTAACATTATATTTTTCATACATATTATATATTATATTTATTTTATTAATTCCACAATCGCCCATAAACTTTTACTAATACAAAGGATTGTATCCTTATTAAACAAATAAAGAGAACGAAACACGGATTTATATTGTTATTGTTGCTACTGGGCTACGTCGTTATTGTTTTTATGGATACCCCTAGGTTGAATTTATCATTCCTTTGCCCTCCCATGTGCTCCTTAGGAACACTTATATAGGCCTCGAGTAAGAACGACAAAAAAAATGGACTGAGCTTTAGCTTACCTTATTTAAAATTGTTGAAATACGTGTTTGCCTTGGAAGATATTCGACTACTTATTACAGGAACAGTTTCATAACCGAGGGTTGCAACGAGTATTAAAAAAATCAATCACAAATGTGATTACTTTCTTTCAATCGAGTTCGCTCAGCATCATTGTTTACCCAATCATTCAATCAAGTTGGGGCAGTTTATTTTGACTTTTAAAATAAATGTTGCACACACTGTGTAGGTAAACGAAAAGGTCGACGTTTTGTGTGAAAAATCTTGACCAATATTGTAAAACAATAAAATATTTAAACACTTTTTGTTTATTAAATACCACTGATGTATTTCTTTATTAAAAATAATGATTTTTCTTTTTAGAGAAAAGTCACTGAAGTCTTATGTATATAAAACCCAAATAAATTTCAAAATTGTCTTATTATTAAATATAATTTGTACTAATTTCTTTAATGGGGACGGTTTTAGTAATAATATGCTTGTAATTTTACTAAAATTATGATTTCGCTCAGATTCGATCATATGTGTTCTATTCAAATCAAATCACACACTTAACTAGGATGAATCAAACCAAACACACTCATAATAGATGATCGCCCCGTTATGAACAATTCAACAGATCTTCGGTCAATTTATATTTGCTCACAACCGACTGACCGACTGATTGAATTTGATTGTATTTCCTCTAAGTGTCATCAAACCTACTCAAAAATACTCATTGCAGTCCTTTGTTTCATAACGTAGTGTGAGTATATTATAGATAAATTATTCCTATATAAATATATAAATGAATGTTTAAAGTCTCGTGTCAGTTTCGTTTTGAAAAACATTATATTCTGCAATTTAGAGCAATATGAAGCTAAGCCAATGGGGGAATACTCCAGACTTAAGTAATCAACACGGTAAAATTACGAAGGAAAAGTAATTTCATATTAGCGTATCCATCCCTGCATTTTCTGTTATTTAACTTGTCAAATTTTACTTCACTGAAATTAGGTATCCATCTCTAATTTGTGTATATACGATGGATTCATTAATATACATTTTGACAATGAGATGTTGTCAAAGGAATAATTTTAAAAAAGTTCTAAACATATAATTGCATGTCTTTACCTTCTTTTTTCTACCATGGCAATCAACTGAATCTCTAACAATTACAAAACACACATTTCAAATCTTATTTACGAAAATATGCAGAATATGGCATCTTTATAAATTTGTGGTCATAAAACAGAAGATAAATTTTAAATTGAAAACATGAAACATAATATCTATATCTATAAAACAGGAAAATGTTTGTATGTTTGTAATTTATGGAATCGAAAACAGCTGAACAGATTTTCCTGAAAATGTCCAGGTATGCTACAACATCGCCTGAAAGTAACATAGGCTATATACATTTTTCTACCCTCCACCATACTTTGTCGTTCCGTTTGTAACTCCTTGAAATACTCATGTCAGACCCAACAAAGAATTTATATTCTTGATCAGAGTAATATTCTAAATCGATTTAGCGATGTCTGTCTGTTGTAATCATGCTATCTTTCAAACGAATTGAGATAGAGGGCTAAAATTTTGTACACATGTTTATTTTGCCAGTAGGCAAGTTAAGTTCGTAAATGGGCTATATATGTCCACGTTTTCATATAGCCCCCATATGACAGAACCTCCCGATATTCGGTATTTTGATGATTTTAGCGAAATTACTCACCGGAATTGTTTCGAAGTTGGTATTTGAAGTTCGAAATGGATACTACATTACTCGACCGGAATTGTTTCAAATTTGGTATTTGAAGTTCGTAATGGATACTACGGCCTGTGACAGAAAATTATCTGTGCAGGCCCAGGACTTCGTATAGCTCCGATATAACGGTACCTCCATATATACGGTATTTTGATGAGTTTAGCTACATTATTCACCGCTTATTTCAAGTTTTGAATTTGAAAATGCTAGTGGCTCATGACAACATTGCCTATGTAGGTTCACGTCTTGTAGAACCCAATATAATGGCTATATTCGGTATTTTTAAGATTTTAACAGAATATTCGTTCAAATGGTGGAGGGTATTCAAAGTTCGGCCCGGCCATCCTTACGGCTTTTTAGCTTGTTGAAATTCCACTTGGAACTGGAGAAATAGCATCAGAAACGGAGGTAACTCCTAAAAATTTGTTCGAATTTGGAACAAAAATAATTTTGTCAAATTATATTGAAATCGGTTCAGATTTGGATATAGTTCCCATATATATTTTCGGCCGATTTCGTTTATTTGATGCCTCAAACACGATGTTTATGTTAGATTCCAATGAAATTTGGAATGTGTAACGGGATTTGATTCGAAAATAAATTGATCAAATTATATTGAAATCGGTTCAGATTTGGATATAGCTCTCATATATATTTTTGACCGATCACATATATTAGATGCACCAACACCATAAATATATCCAATTCCAATGAAATTCGGATAGAGAGTCAAAATTTGATACCAAAAAAATTTGCCAAATTATATTGAAATCGGTTGAGGTTTGGGTATAGCTCCCATACATATATTTCGGCCAATTTAATGTATGTTATGCACCATACACGATATGTATGTCCGATTCCAATGAAATTCAGTATGTGTGGCGAAATTTGGTTAAAAAAATAAATTTGACAAATTAATTAGAAATCTGTTAAGATTTGGATATATACATATACATACTCTCGGCCGATTTCACACATTTGATGCACCAAACACGGTATATACCTCCAATTTCAATGAAATATGGATGGTTTGGCGGAATTTGGTGTAAAAGTAATTTTTACAAATTGTATTGAAATTGGTCCAGTAGGGATATGATTTTATTAAGAAGCATTGACCCACAAAGCCTTTGCAATGGTATAAGGCTAACAGTAAAAAAGGACACAACAATTTTATTGAGGAACGGATTATTACGGGGAAGTATGTTGCTTCTTCGAATTCTCTAATTGCAACAGAAATGCCACTTAACTTCAAAAGATTGCAGTTTCCAGCACGCTTGACATTTGCTATAAAATTAATCAATCCCAAGGACAAACCCGTCGTTATGAGGACTAAATTTGGCATGTTCCTTCTTTTTTCATGGTCAGCTTTTCCTGGCATATTCACGCGTTGGTAGACCGAGGTATTTGTTTGTGTACGCATAAATGTATTAAAATAATTACGTTTTTTTATATTTTTGAATTTATCTTTTTTTAACCAACAAATATTCGTATATAAAATTTTCAATGCATATAAAATCATAAGGGGTAGCGAAGCGCACCGGGTTTAGCTAGTAGTATAAAAAACTCAATTTCTGGGAAGAAACGAAAATTTTTTGATGTGTTTGTTTTCTCTTTCGAGACGAGCTTAATGATCAGGAATTTGCAGTGAAAAGGAAAGCCAGATAGACACTATCACACACTCACCACTATGCGACGCGTTTCGCCGTTGGTTAAGCGGCTCATCAGGCATATTTGGTGTGGATGATGGCTTACAAGGGCCGTTCTCTGGAAAGTAGTATATATTTCGAACTTATTGCAAATTAGCATATGTGAATTATACACTAGAAACTCTCCAGGTTCGACTCAAGTTCTATTGGCAGATCTTTTTCACAGCAAAGTTTTGTTTTTGTAGTGATGGATTTTTTGTCCACAACAACTACATTGCTTCCAATGCATACACTTATTTTAGTGCTGCTATAGGAAGACGGGTTAATGGCTCTGAACGTAGAGACGGCAACTTCTAGTTGGCTGCACACCGAGGTCCGCGGTTCAAATCCCACAGCCAGGCTCGGCTGAATTTTTGAGTTTTGCCTTGTTAAGGCGAAGATCATATGTTTTATGATTGATGTGTTTGTTTTCTCTTTCGAGACGAGCTTAATGATCAGGAATTTGCAGTGAAAAGGAAAGCCAGATAGA